ACATGTACTTATAGGGACTGGAATAACAGAAAAGGACAGGGGCAGAGGACTTAATACAGCTACCTCCTGTATTTCCAGTGGCATCCATCCAGTTGTAGAATACCTATGCCTGGCAGCACTTAGTGGAGAGCTGTGAATCCAGTTGTCTAAGATTTTAGTGTCAAACAACCCTACAGGAAAGATGAAATTCTCTTCATTTTATATCTTAAAGTTTTAGGTTCTGGGGAGTCAAATAATTTGTCGATGGTCACACAGCTGGTGAGAGAGGTGAATCCAACAGATGAAGCAATGGGCACTTGGTCTTAAATCCCATTTCTTTTCATTATGCCGCTTTGTGAAAAGCTTCAGCAGCACCAGGGAGCCTTAACAAGGCAGCAGGGAGTGGTGCAGGGGTGAGGAAACTGGGAAAATATTCTCTACAAAAGTGTAAGCTCCGTGAAGTTAGGAACCCTTTGCTACAACTTTAGGACATGAAGAATTGCCTGACCTATAGGCACTCAATAAATGTTTTCCACTGGCTGAGAAGAAAGAAAGTAGGAAGGGAGCTGCAGTCAGAGTTGCTGAATATGAAATTGACAAATTAACAGGTGAGAGTTCTCGGTCCATGGTCTGTTGCTGGAAAAGGTACAGTTCTTCTCAAACTTGAATGTGCACATAAGATTTTTGACCATCTCATTAAGATACAGATTCTAGCCAGTTACTGGTGGCTCACACCTGTAATCCAAGCTACTCAGGAGGATCGTGATTCGAAGCCAGTCTGGGCAAATAGTTCCACAGACCCTATCTCAAAAAAACCCTTCACAAAATAAGGCTGGTGGAGAGGCTCAAGGTGAGGGCCCTGAGTTCAAGCCCCAAGTACTAGCTTGAGGTAAAGATAGTTATACAGAGAGATTCCTACCATTGCTATGAGGGAGAACAAGATTTTTGGCCTTCTGAGCCTGGCTAACTTCGCTTAAGATGATATTCTCCAGTTCCATCCATTTACTTGTGAGTGACAAGATTTCATTCTTCTTTGTGGCTGAATAAAATTCCATTGTGTATAGATACCACATTTTCTTAACCCGTTCGTCAGTAGTGGGGCATCTTGGCTGTTTCCATGACTTGGGTATTGTGAATAGTGCTGCAATAAACATGGGTGTGCAGGTGCCTTTGGAGTAACCTGAGTCGCATTCCTTTGGATATATCCCCAGGAGTGGGATTGCGGGATCATATGGCAGATTTATGTTTAGTTTTTTAAGAAGCTTCCATATTGTTTTCCAGAGTAGTTGTACTAGTTTACATTCCCACCAGCAGTGTATGAAGGTTCCTTTTTTCCCTGCATCCTCACCAACATTTGTTGTTGGTAGTATTTTTGATGCTAGCTATATTCTAACAGGGATGAGGTGGAATCTTAGTGTCATTTTGATTTGCATTTCCTTTATGGCCAGGGATGGTGAGCATTTTTTCATGTGTTTTTTGGCCATTTGGGCTTCTTCCTTTGAAAAAGTTCAGTTGTCTTCTTCTTTAATGTTTCATTGATTTTGTGGGAGTTTAGTTTTTGAGCTCCCTGTATATTTTTATCAGTCCTTTGTCTGATGTATAGCCAGTGAATATTTTCTCTAACTCTATGGGTGGTCTCTTCAGTTTAGAGACCATTTCTTTTGTTGTGCAGAAGATTTTAATTTCATGAAGTCCCATTTGTCCATCCTTTCTCTTAGTTGCTGAGCTGACGAAGTTCTACTGAGGAATTCTGAAACCTATTGCTTCCAGAGTATTCTCTGCTCTTTCCGGTACTAACTTCAAGGTTTTGGGTCTGATGTTAAGGTTCTTAATGCACTTTGAGTTGATACTAGTACAGGGTGATAGGCATGGATCTAGTTTCAGTTTTCTGCAGGCGGATAGCCACTTTCCCCAGCAACATTTGTTGAAGAGGCTGTCTTTTCTCCATGGTATGTTCTTGGCACCTTTGAAAAAAGTAAGGTGGACCTAGCTGTGTGGATTCATATTCAGGTCCTCTGTTCTGTTCCACTGGTCTTCATATCTGTTTTTCAGTACCATGCTGTTTTTATTGTTAGTTGCTTTGTTATATAGTTTGAAGTCAGGTTTTGGGATACCTCCAGCATTGCTCTTTTTGCTAAGTATTGCCTTGGCTATTCGTGGTCTTTTGTATTTCCAAATGAACTTTAGGGTAGGTTTTCAATCTCTGTGATGAATGTCATTGGGATTTTGATGGGAATTGCAATTGAACATGTAGATTACTTTTGGGAGTATCGACATTTTTACTACGTTAATTCTACCAATCCATGAGCATGGGAGATCTTTCCACCTTCTGTAGTCTTCGTCGATCTCTTCCTTCAGGGGTTTGTAGTTCTCCTTGTAGAGGTCATTCACATCCTTTGATAAGTTTACTCCTAGGTATTTGGTTTTTTTGAGGCTATTGTAAATGGAATTGTTTCCTATATTTTTTGTCAATTTGTTCATTGTTGATGTATAGAAAGCCTACTTATTTTTGTAAGTTGATAATTCTGTATTTCTAATACAAGCTGCTGTTGGTAGTCTGCAGATCACATTCAGTATCAAGAACAGAAAGTTTAGACAGAGAGTGAAGGGAGCTTCTTCCTTTATTTGTCTTCTATTTCTGAAGACAATAAGAGGAGTTTTAGGAAGAAATAAGAGGAGTGAGGACTGTTAAGGGTTCATGGTTCAAGTACAAAATTCTAAAGGAAGACTATAAATCAAAATAGAAAAAAATCCAAATTCTCACACAAATACGGTCTTGCATTAGGAAGGTTCATGAAAGTGACTCTACAAGCAAATCAGACAAAAGCCAATAGCCAGAGATCTGCTACGAATGAGGAAGAGGTTATATCTTCTCTGCTTTTTTTCTAATTTTGTTCTTTTAATTTCAGAAAAGAGATAAAGCCTCCAGTTTTCCTCCTGCTTTCATTTTACTGTCTCATTTGAAATGTTGCTTTAGACCATGGAGACTTGTATGTGAACATGAAACTAAATCTCAAGAACACTTTGACTTTAAAACCAAGCAAGTGATAAACTATTACTCGGGGCAGTAGACAACACCTACAAACTTGTACAAGACCTGTACTCTCCATCATTAAAATTTCATTCTGCACTATTCTAGTTGTACAAAATGATATCAACACACAGTGAAGTGTCATGGTGGGCCATCTTGTAACTACCACTTGGTTTAAGAAATAAAGCCAAACAAATTTAAGAAAAGAAATAAAGCCAAAGAAGCTAAATTTCCCAGTGTGTGTCATCTAAGCATATTACTCTGTCCCTTTATGATGACTTAAGGATGAAGTTTATCATTCTAATACATTTTAAAATATATTTCATACATTGTTGATATTAAATTCTGTTCTAAATTTTGATGAAAGTGATATCAAACTTCATTTTTAAAGTTGTACTTTTTTTGCCCAGGCACAGTTACTATAATCCTAGTTACTTGAGAGGCACAGAGATTGGGAGGATCATGGTTCTAGGCCAGCCTGGGCAAAATGTTTGCAAGACCTTATCTCAACCAATGACTGGGCATGATGGCATGTTCCTATCATCCCAGCTACTTGGGGAAACACAAATAAGATATCTGTCCTGGCTGGCCTGGGCATAAAGCAGGACCCTAACTCAAAAATAACGAACATAAAAAGAGGTGACAGAATGTTTCAAGTGGTAGAGTGCCTGCCTATTAAAAGTGAGTCCCCAAGTTCAACCCTTAGTACTAAAGCCAAAAAAAGAAAAGAAAATTTGCATTTTTTATTTGCTGCTATTTGTAGGAGTTTTCTGTCTTTGTAAGTTTGTCCATTTTCCTAGTTGTATCCTACTCCATGTAGCTTCATGCACTTACATTGAGCTCATGCTCACTTTTTCCTTCTTTCACAATATACATATATATATATTCACAACACATATGTTATATATAGATACATTGATAGATTAAATATTTCATATATTAGTACAGCAATTCTTACTGTCCCATGAAATAACAGAAGAACTGTGAGGTAGAATTCAAATGAGTGGTACTGCTGATAAAGTGAACTAACAGGCTAGGGAGAGCTGACAATTCGTGCACTGGTTTGTTGAAATTCTCGTCTATAAAGTGGGCATTATTTTAACCATTTTCTCAAAATGTTTATGAAAAGTAATTGGCAATGCTTGTAATATGCTAAAATTTATAGAACTGTTGACTGTGTAATTTATTATCAGAATTGGGTTGTTTAGGAAGTGGGTGTTGTAATTTGCATAATGAATGTGTTCTTGACATTGTGGGGTATGAATGAGTCTTGAAAGGTGAAATGATGCTTTTGTGTTCAAGTGTACTTACTGTTTAAAAAACTCATTTAAAAACAAGCTTTTTTTTTTTTTTTTTTGGCTTCCCATGAATACATGTATCAGGGGTTTGTGCCTTAACTTTTTCAGATCCAACAGTTGGTATTTAGGGTCTTTTTCTGCAGTGTACCATTTTGTAAATAGCACTGTGATCACTGAGAAAAGTGGAAATGCCTCCGGGACAGGTATTTACCCAGACAAATTGAAATGGATAGTTGAGCACTTACCCAATTAATTTATTAAATGTGCTCAGTCAGTCTGGATAAATGAAAGAAATGTGCTCTTCCCCCTTCCTTGTCGGATTGAGATTGGCCTGAAGTATCTGAGATAATTACCCCCCCAACTTTCTACTGCAGTTTTTCCTATACAGCCCTCACCTTATTTCCCCCCTGGTGAACAAACTAAATCATTCTTACCTCTTCGGGAAACTTTTAAACATCTTTAACCTTTAGAGGCTATTCTGTTGTAATTTCTACTGTACTTTAACTTTTGCCTCTGATAAATCCATGGACATGTTTGCTTTTCCATTGTGTGACACTTGAGTAATGTATGTATCACTTTTCATTTTTACAGGGTGGGAGGGACCATGTTGAAAGTGAGTTGTATAAAATGGAGTCTCATTTTAAATTTAATTTATGCTAACAAGAGAAAAAACCTTGACATTTGTCTTACAGATGGCAACTGAATGGAAGTGACATTGATTTGAGTATGGACCATCATTATAAGTTGAATGGAGGAAATCTCATAGTTATTAACCCCAACAGAAATTGGGATATAGGAAATTACCAGTGTTTTGCAACAAATTCACTTGGAACAATTGTCAGCAGAGAAGCCAAACTCCAGTTTGCTTGTGAGTTTATGTTTATACATCTAACAAAATCAACATTTAAAATTGTGTAAGTTAATTCGTATAGTTGTTTTGGATTTCAGAAACAATTCAGGAGTTTATTAATTTAAAAATAGGTTAAGAAAGTAATTAGGCTTTTTTTTGGACTTCTGTGTAATGTACAAATTAGATTTTAAGATTGTGTGTGTGCACTTGTGTGTGTGTGCATGCATGCTTGCACATTTTAGATTACTGTTTTGCGAGGATTTTTTTTGGTAGTACTGGGTTTGATTTGCAAGGATTTTGTTTGGGGAAGGAAAAAGATGAAATTTGAGAGATTTTATTGAGCAGTTAATTTTGTACTCTCTAGTATCGCATAACTAAAAAAAGGCTCTTTTTTGTTTGTTTTTTTGAGACAGGGTCTTGCTGTGTAGCCCAGGTTGGCCTCAAACTTGCAGTCCTCCTGCCTCAGCTCCCTTGTGCTGAGATTACAGGCCTGAACTACCACACCTGGCTTTAGAACTAAAAAGAATATGGAAAAATTGTTAAGTATGGTTCTTGCTTTTGAAGAACATTTAAATTAGAATTAGATTAAGTTATTATTTCTCCAGAGAATTTGAAATTGGGAACAGAGGTCCAATAGGGTTTTCATGTTTGTCTGTTTTCTACTTTTTCTTTCTTTTCAATAGATCCCTTTTGTTTTAGTTGTGTATCTTGTTTATTATGTATGATTATTTTGATTCTGTGGTGTCTGTTAGTTCTTTATACCCCAATAATTCTAAAATCAGAATGTGTAGATTTTTATAAAGTGGAAGTGTTCTCTCTTTACCAAATATAAGCTATTAGTAAATAAATGATGCATTATTTAATGCATGGCTTATTCTTTTTCTTTGTATTTTGATAATGGCAATGGTTACTTTTACTCCTGTCATTTTATTCTGTGTGGTCTATTTTCCATACTTACTTTCTCTTTCCTTTGTTTTCTCTATAATATCTCCTATATTCCTGGGCATTTTGAAAGCTATAGTTTATGTTTATATTACACAATTTTTAGCTTTAAGTTTGCTAAACTATATTATATACGTTTCTCTAACAGTGAGAATTTTAGCTTTAATTTCTTTTTTCAGAATCCTTCTGTTTTAAATAGTGTTTAGTTCCTTTTATCCTTAATGTACACTTTGTGGTCTTGATGCATTTCCATGATTATTCATTTTAAGTCTTCTATTTTAATATACATAATATAGAGATAGTATGCACTGTACTATGTGTATATGCATGTATATGTTTATAGAAAATTATATGTAAGATTTTCCTTGTGAATAATTACAGTTTCTAACCAGAATTTTGCTCAAATCTATTGTGATATCTGTTTTACTTAACTGCAATGCTAACTATCAGAACTCTTACCATTTTTGCATTCTTATTTTATGTATTTCTCAATTTTTAAACATTTCTAATATTTATTGTTTTACATTTAAAGAATTCTAATATACTTCCTTATTTTGCACTGTTAAAAAATGCCTTCCTATTGCATTAAACATGAAGACGGTTTTGTTTGGTAGTAAGTACTGAACCCAACACTGTTTTACCAGAGAACTCTGAGTTTGTTGCTTCAGAATTCATGCTTCTGAGAAAGCTGACCACACTCATTTCAGTTTCTTCGGTGCTCACTACCACCCACTGTTTTTTTGGGTTCATGAAGTTGTATATGGTAAAATCAATTTTTCTTTATCCTTTTAGTTTAAAACATGTCTGCTTCCCAGCATTTGGCTATACTTATATATATTTTAGTTTACATTGCTCAGAACTTGAAAAATTATCTTCTTATATAATGTTATACATCTTGTGTACAGTTCAGGAAAGTTTCCTTCTGTATCTTTTAATTTTACATTTATTTATGTTATAAAAATACACTGATCATGTATGTCCAATTTTAAAAATTCCTTTCATTTCAGCCTTTTCTTTCTTGTGAATTTGTTGCTGACTCATAGAAGACTGTATCTTTTTTATATTCTTTGGGAGATAATGATTGCTTTCTGAAATGTTATTCTTCTACTACTTCCATTTGGTTCCTGCATTTTTTTATGGTTAAGAATTTTCAGTATGTTCTAAAACAGATCATATCCAAACTCCATCCTTGTCAACAGATGGTGTCAGTGGAGTGGCCCTAGAGTCTTTGCTCTATAGAGGAGACAGTGTCTACTCTGATCTTTGGGATCTGTGTAATTTCTGGTCTCATTCCCTATTTCCAGTAGTCTTTCACAAAATAAACTCTGCCTTTTATATAGTGATATCCTCCACCCTCCTCTTTTTTGCAGAACTGGGGCTCGAACTCAGGGCCTTCACCTTGAGCCACTGCACCAGTCCTTTTTTTTTGTGAAGATTTTTTTCGAGATAGGGTCTCCCGAACTATTTGCCTGGGCTGGCTTTGAACCACGATCCTCCTGATCTCTGCCTCCTGAGTAGCTAGGATTGCAGGTGTGAGCCACTGGCGCCCAGCTGATATTTTCCCCTTTTGTCAGTACTGGAGATTGAATGCAGGGCCTTGTGCTTATGCACTCTACTACTTGAGTCACACCTCTGAGTCCTTTTGCTTTTCAGTTTATTTTTCTGATAGGGTCTTGTGCTTTTACCCAGGCTAGGCTCATACTGTGATGCTTCAACCTCTGCCTCCTGAGTAGCTGACATTACAGCCATGTACCACTGTGCCTGGCTTAGATAGAGATATTTTTCTGCTAAAGATACCTCACATCCTGTAATATGTGAGGAAGTATAATTAACTTACAGATGTTTCTTCAGTGAGCCTCTCCTAGAGAGTATGGTTTATATAGAAAAATGCCTCTAAAATTATTTTGCATCTGCTCTATTCTTTCCCTGGCTCCTAACCAGTACTTCATAGGCAAAGTGTCAGGGCTGGGATTTTTACCCTACTTTGAGGCTCTAAGCTAGCTTGTTACTGGTTCATGACTTTTGGGAGAAGACACACGAATCCTTGGTCAGTGCCTAAGGACTTCATTATTCCCAGAACATCAAGCCTCATGGATTTCAGCATGTTTGGGTCAGTTCCTCCTGGCCCAAGTCCTACAGGGAGCTATAACATGCTAGAGAAGATGCTGTGTTTACAGCTGAGGAACACTGAGCTTGGTGAACCTGCCTCCTTTAGAGCAAGTGGAAAGCCCACCTGCTCCTTGTCCTTGAGGAATGCGTGGGATGGTTAATCTCGACTGTCATCTTGATTGGGTCATCTTGATTGAGAGTCTTCAAGGAAATTAATAAAGTTCTCTTCCAGGCGTGTCTGTGAGGGTAGATCCACAAAGCAGTAACTAAGGGAGGAAGAACTGCCCTGAATGTGGGAATCCCATAGGCTGCTTCCCACATGGAATAAGTGGAAAAGGTAGGAAGCCAGGTAGTACAGACATTCTCTCTCTGACCTGCTCCATCTTTGCTGTGATAGGCTAAAACCTCTGACACTGTGAACCAAACTAAATCCTTCTTCCCTTCAGTATTTTTTCCTCTCAGGTATTAGTCACCGCAGCACAAAAGTGTGAATAACACATGACATTTCCTTATTACTTCAGTGGCTGTCCACAAACACATCTCTGAGATATGAGTGTGGTAATGAACCCTTGAGCCTCTCATTCTTGGCAAAACCAGAAAAATCTTGCAGGAAAGTTCAGAACACATAGTTAGGTGCTTCTCCCACCAAAAGTTATTTCCTTTTCTTGGTACTATCCTTGACTTTCTGAGTAGGGGTACTCCATATCAGGACACACATTGTACAAAATATCTTCCTACCTTTATTGAGAATTCTCCCTTTCATAAGGCAAAGTGGGATGTTCCATTTGGTCCCTAACACTTTCCTGTAATCTGTTGTCATCTGTTTTATAAGTTTTATTTATTACTGTACTTGGTATTAGGTTGCCTAGCAGTCTTAATATTCAGTGGGACTCTTTTGTTTTCTGTTGTTTGTGCATTTTGGTGTTTCCCTTTGTGACTTATTTGGAAGTTTTGAGAAACATCATTGGGTATTCTTAAGTCTCAAACACATTAATCTGGAAAATTATAATTTTTTATTAAAAATGTAATATCCATGGCATATAGATACTGGTAAAAATATCAAAGAAAGTGGCAAAAGCTGTAGGAGATATTTAATAAGCTATTAGTTATAGAAGAGGATTGCTTTCACTTGTAACCTATAAAGAATTATGTAATATATCAACACGGGGAGGAATGCATGCCTGTAATCTCAGTTCTCAGGAGTTGGAAGCAAGTAAATTATTAGTTGGAAGCCAGCCAGAAAAAAAAAAGAATGTAATACATGAGCTGAAGAAGAAGAAGGGTGGAGGCCCTTCTTGGTAGTAGGATGCTCCTGACTGCAGTTCAGAGGAATCTTGACTGTCTTTGCTACAGCATTGTCACTGAAAAATGTTTTCTAATTTTTCAATATAACTACGTCTCCCCTCAAGACTACATAGTATGTTTGTGTGCTTAATAATGCTTCTTTGTTTTTAGTAACAATGCAGAGACCACTTCTGTATTCTTCTGAGTAAGTGAAAATACAGCCAATGAACCAATTTTAATGCTATTGAAAATGCAAAGAAATTTTATCATAGTTTTTTTACTTGCTAGAAAATAGTGTTGGTAATAAAGTGAAAGTGAAAAGGCCATTTATAGTTTAAGAAGCCTGCTTTCCTTAGACATCCTCAGTCCATAGGACTAGGCTTTGTGGAATAGTCATAAAATCTTTGAGGGAGGAAGTATATGAAATAATGCAATGTTTGAACTGTAAACATTTTCTCAATTATTGGCTGTTCAGTTACAGATGTGCAATTTTTGATGCTCATTTAATTAACTTGGGATTTGCTTTTGTTAACTTCTTAATTTCTATCACAGAAGGCTTGGGGAGTTGCCTTTAAAACCCAATAGCTAGTTTTGTCTTATTTCCAAGTTTCTGATGCTTCTTTTTTTATTATATTACTGTTATACTGGGGTGCATTTACGAAAGTTCTTACAGTATATCATAG